TTAATTAATTGTCTTATATTTGGTACCAATCGGTGACCACTCGTGACTCTGACCGTCGACTTTAGGTACGATTGGTCTGATAGTAGAGGACAACGAGATAGCGATTGCAGACATTAAAGCCAGACAAGTGGTCGCACGCGTTCTTAGCGTCAAAAATGTCTTCGTATACCACAAAAGCCGTGCCTTTTGTCTCCGATGTGTTACCACTGATGACATCCCAGACATAGAAAGACAATACAACAACAATACATTAGTGCTAATCATAAGCATACAAGTGATGGCCAATTGGATCCATAAGAGCCAATGGCCAGAGAGTGAGTGTACTATTGATGGACTTACAGCCGGATCTGTCTAATGGCACCGTATTTACCGAAGATGTCGTACATCTCTTCGGGAGTGATCTTATAGGGAAGGTTTCGCACATATAATATACGGTTCACTTCGGGCGGCAATCGTACCTAAAGTCGACGGTCAGTGTCACGAGTGGTCACCGATTGGTCACAAATATAAGACAATTAATTAAAATATAGTTAATACTCAATACAATACACATGTCTTGCAGTCAATACTCACGTTTGCCTTCTTCTGGAGTGCATTCATAGCCATCGTTACTATCGTTAGGTCTTGAGGTCCGGTTACCCGACACTCCGCTACACTCTATACACGCTTTTAATCACTAATTGTTTACTAATTGTCGTAAATTAATTGTCAATTAATTTGTATTGTTTACGTTGTGTTGCGATAGAGGTGTTCACAAAATGCCTTACATTACCTTACAGTGTACTCTAGTTAGTAATAGTTAATAATAATGTAATTGTACTTTATTTTTATCCTAATTATAAATTTTATTTTTAAATATAATAAGTAATATTGATTGTATTTTTAAATGTGTTTTGTAATAATTTAAATTTTAATAATAATTTTTAAATGATTATTAAGTTATATAAATTGTAATGTATAACGAGAGTAGACTGTATTTATACATTGAAACCATAACTAACGCCACCTTTTATTCAATGTCTATATTAGAGATGTTTTGCGGGTTTTTATGAAAACAAAACATATTTTGTGTTTTCAATGTTTTTATTAATTAATTGTTGTTTTAATTATTAATTCATTTATTAATTGTTTTTATGGATTAAGTGTTGAATTGAATGTAAAGACAATTAACAGTGAATTGTATTTAAAGTGAAACTAAATTACATTTAATGTTATAAATACCGAAACTATTGTTTCAATGATTTACTGATTGTTTTCAACAAAATGTAAGTATTTTTCAATCAATTTCTGTATTTAAGTCTCATTTGTATTAATTATGTATTAATTTATGTCTCAAAACAAGTCATCATTTGATTGGAAAATGTCTCAAATGAACGCAAAGAAGACTAGAATTGACAATGAGATGCCCTCTGGAAGCGATTCAGTGATGTCTTCACCACAAGTCTATGCCAGGGATTCAATGGACAGATTTGGTGATGATTTGTGTGAAATCTTATTGTCTTATCTCTCACTCAAAGACCGATTCATCACTGAATGTGTGTCCAAACAGTGGAAAAGAGTGGTCTTCACGAGTGTTACGGACATCGAAGGAGACATAG